AGAGAGAGAGAGAGAGAGAGAGAGAGGTTTAATGTTGCAATCTCATGATTTCATGAAATTAACCACTTAGCTTTCACCAAGCATGTTTTTATGTAATTAATTTGAAACTCGAGGTGTTTCAAATAGAGGTTACAAATTGAACAAAAATTGTGGGGAACTGTGCTCATTCAAAAGCCCATTTATATATGCTTTTATATTTGCAGATGTGAAGCAGGCATTAATCCAGTGGCAGGAGAGAATTGAATTTGCCCATAAACTTCTAACCCTTCTTAATTCCTATAGCCCTCCAGAACTAAGAAATGCTTGCATAGGTAAGTTGCTTGAAAAATAAAAGTTGTAGGCAAATATATCTGGTGTTTGTTTGTTAGGCTTTTTCTTTTGTTTTGTTTCTGTGAGTTGTGAGGTTACATTTATAGTGTTTGGAAGACAGTGACTCGTCTGTATAATTCATACAGAATAGCAGGTCCTAAGAAAAGTTGTTTCTGAACATGCTAGTGTTAAATGTGTTTGTGGGCAGACTATCTGGGTCTCTATTGTAGGTTTCATACACCTCTAAATAAACTGTGATACTGTATGAACAAGGTAGAATCATGTTAATATTTACAAAGTGTTATTCATAGTGTAAAAGATAGTGCTAGTTTCTTCACAGTGAGTTTTAGCCTTAAAAACACTTCTCAGTAACTGTTTATAGACTCTTGAGTATAACACCTTTGTGACTAATTGCTTACAGAATGATAAAATATAGCTGTTAAAAGAATCTTCATTTAAATATAGAGTGAAGTTTTTTACTACCTTAGGAACCACTTGAAGTAGTGAGCATTGTAGACTGTTAACTGTAGTTTCTCAAAATAGCATAAACAATAGTTTTCGAGCATGAGATTTACTTTTGTGTAGTTAGTAAGTGAGAATCAGTCTAGCCAATATTGTAAACTTCAACAGCAGAAAGCAGATTATCAGCTATTGTGATGGACTTTATAAAGGGTATTGCTATATGACTAGACTGTGTCTACAAGTAAGCAAGGCAAATAGGGAGATTAGTGATAGTGTTTTAAATTCATGTTTTAAGTACATTGACCCTCTGCTGTGGTTATCATAGCTCTTGATCCAGAGTTGTGCATTAGGCAGTTTTTCCCTTATGTTAGAAGCTCAACAGTTTGTAGTACTCAGGACACTACAACTTCATCAGGATTTGAGAGATCAAAAGTAGTAACCCGCAGTGTTTTGATAATGTTAAATTGTTTTCATTTTCAGATGTCCTCAAGGAACTTGTTCTTTTGAGTCCCCATGATTTTCTTCATACTCTGGTTCCCTTCCTGCAACACAACCATTGTACTTACCATCACAGTAATATCCCAAGTACGTATTTATCTAACATAATACTTGAATATGGTTGGCATGTAATCATTCTGCACACTGAAGCTTGGAGATTTATTTTTTCCATTTATTCTTATTGTACACTTTTAATGTCTTAGTGTCTCTTGGACCTTATTTCCCTTGTCGAGAAAATATCAAGCTAATAGGAGGGAAAAGCAATATTCGGCCTCCGCGCCCTGAACTCAATATGTGCCTCTTGCCCACAATGGTGGAAACCAGTAAGGTATGTTGGGATGCCAGGAAAACCGTATTTCTATAGTACAAGGTAATCTGAGATTTCCCCCTGGCGGTCTGTTAGATTTATGTGAACGATTCATTAATCTTATTATTAGATTCATTTGGATTTTTTCCTTTAAGTGCTCTGAAATGTTGATATTTGCAAAATCAACACTAAGCACAAGTTAAGATTTTTTTCTTCTTTAAAAAAAAAATAGCTTAATAGTAAACCTTAGTTTGTTACTAGGCTAAATTATAGCTGTATCCTGCATCTAAATATACAAAAATCAAATTAGGTACTTGGAATGTTTTCAATTTGGCAATATAATCAAGACCTCTTCTACTGTCCCTTTAATCATACTCTCCTTAGCCTACCCTAATGTAACTGTTTGATAGATTTATCATCTGGTTCCTGTTCTCTAATGCTTATTCTAAAATAGTGTCAATCCTAAATTACAGAGACAAGCTATATTAACATATCTTAGTTTTAACTTTTTTTTAAAAAACAAAACAAAACATTTTTCCCCTTCAGCTTTCTTCACCCACACCTTTATCCACACTCTCTCTTGCCTACTATTTTTTGGATCTGAAGTATATTTGAACAATTCTTCATGATAAAATATTAAAAATAATTAACATTATAGTTACCCTTATAGAAATATTCTCAAATCTTTCAAAAATCAAATATAACTCATTCTTCTTGATATGTTTATAGAGCTAAAGTGTCACATGCTAAAATCTCAGTACTTTTACTCTATGTAAAGTATATAGAAATGATGGGTAATTATAATTGATAGCATTTGCACACGGACAATAAACCTAAGACAACTATGATCTTAATAACACTAGAAATTTGGAATTTAAAACTAGATTCTTATAGAAGTTAAAGATTTAATTAGATTTTTACTTAATCTTATTACATTTGCACAAAATATGCTCTTTATTATACAATTTAAGTGCAACCATTTTATCATCTTTAACCTTCAGGGCAAAGATGACGTTTATGATCGTATGCTGCTAGACTACTTCTTTTCTTATCATCAGTTCATCCATCTATTATGCCGAGTTGCAATCAACTGTGAAAAATTTACTGAAACATTAGTTAAGCTGAGTAAGTATAAAAGATGAGCAGTAAATTCCACTGAATTATTTTAAGCCCCTAGCCATTCAGGAAGGGGAAAAATATATGACAGTCCCTTTATATTTTTCTTTTTTAAAGTGAATGTTTAAAAATATTAATTAGTGTCCTTGGGAATATTTTAATTTTTATTAAGAAAACACCAACTTACTGGTTTCCATTGGATAGTTCTGCCCAGAGTTTCAGCTGGCCTATTATAGAGCAGGAGCAGGGCTGACCATCACTCTGTACCCAGAAGCCCAGGTCCATCATCTTCACAGCAGAATTCAAACAAAACTGTGTTGCTGTTGCGTAGGGAGAAAAGTTAGAGACACACTTCCCTGGCCCTTGAGGGTGAGTTGAAATCTTTAGTGCCAGCTGTGCTTTGGAGCTGGTGGTGCCAGAAAAGCTGAGTGGGCTTGGCAGCGTGAAGCAGAGGTGCATATACGAGTGACTAGGCGGTAAGTGTCATAAAATGAGAAGACATATTTGAAAGGAGCATCATGAGCAACAGAAAACAAATCCTTCAGTGAGTTATATAGGGGAGAAAAAAACTTGACAGATGTCTAATACCTCTCTCCAAGGTCAGGACCTAGAAGTTCTGAAGCTCTATATGTCCTGCCTTCTAATTTTATCAAGGATGGGCCAGAATCCTCTCCGGTCTCTATAGTTTCATTTCAGAATGTGGGGAGTAATACTTATGAAACTACCACTTAGATCAAGAAATAGGCTATTACCATACCCCTAAGTCCTTTTTGTGTTACATCTCAGCAACAACTCCCTTTTCTATGGAAAAGATATTGGTCCATTCCAGGTAGGGCAAAAGATATGATCCAACCATAGATTTCATTACCAAGGAAGAAGGAAGTGGTTACAGCTGTCAGGGATAACTCCTCTTCAAAAAAATCATCTTATTGGTAAGTGATCAGAGCATCTTCAGATTTGAAAGGCTGTTCTGTTCCTTCATTAGCTGATCATACCTACGTGTCTATGGGTGATGCCAAGATGTGGGGAGGTAAGGATATCTGCAGATTCTCTGTTTCAGAATTGTGCATCTGGGCTCTGACACTTGGTAAAAGTCTCAGTCTAGCAATAACAACTGTCAGGTGTAAAAGAACAATCAGGAGTTCTGATAGTGTAGCCTTTGTGCTCAGATAAGAGGTGTATCCAAAGATGCTAACTTTTGGAGAACTTCCAGGTAATCATGTTTATATAATTTATTACAAACTATGTGAAGAGCTGTTCTTGATAGGTGGACAATTTTGACCAAGTAATGAATGTTCTACCATTTTTGAGTTTCTCTTTCGTCAACACAAATATATACTTTCATGGGAATTAAGAATGGAGAAGGGTAGCTGGATGTGGTAGCTCATGCCTGAATCCCCACACCTGTAATCTTGCAGTCAGGAGGCTGTGGCAGGAAGATGGCCAGACTTGTAAGGTCTACGTGGGCTACAGAGTTAAGCTGTCTACAAAAACAAGCATAAGTAACAGGGAGGGAGAAAGAACACACTAAACATCATACACCAAATCAGCGCCATCATAGCATGGAACACTATTCTACAAAAACGTCGTTTTTGTGTAAGTCTGATGAATGTTTTCAGGAGATGCACATATTCCCAACTGTGCTGTCATTCAGGGCATGGTGGTTACTAGCCATGCTGGAAGGGTTAGAAATGCAAACTGTGACCAAAGGAACTGTTTTATGTAATTCCAGCCAAACTAAATTTAAATAGCCAAATGGTGACTGTTACAACAAAGCTAGGTACAAACCCAAACCACAAAGCAAGAAATTGAAAGTTTATTGGTCCATTCCTAACTAATGCAGAAAATTGATTACAGAGACTTAAAAGCAATGATGTCTGGGAAAATTATGCCCCGTTAACATTAATTAATCTTATAGCCAAGACAACTATTTCCAAGGAAAGGGCTCTAGAAGACAAAACCCACTAGTGACAGCAGTGGTGAGGAGAGTTGGTAATTTCTGATACATAGGACTCTTTTCAGGAAAAGTTTAAACTGAGACTTAACATATTGTTACCATATGTGAGATCTTTCTCAAAACCTATGTTTGATTGCCAGTTTTGAAGAAAACACTTGGATCCCTGTATACTACCACAACTTCATTCTTTTTACTTTCATGTCTTTTTACTTTCATTTTGTAAATATATTTTCTTTCCTTTTACAAAAGTAAACTAGAATGATTCAAACAATGGCAAAAAAGACCAAACAAAAGCACATATTTAGTAGCTATAAAGATAATATCCAAGCCGGGCAGTGGTGGCACACACCTTTAATCCCAACTCAGGAGGCAGAGGCGGGCAGATGTATGTGAGTTCGAGGCCAGCCTGGTCTACAAGAGCTAGTTCCAGGACAGGTTCCAAAGCTACAGCAAAACCCTGTGGGGGTGACCAAACAAAGAAAGATAATATACAATTAATAGAACATTGGTGGTATTAACAGCATAGTGGTCCATACTCTTGGGAGCTCAGGCAAAGAGACCGAGAACTCAAGATAACTACATAGCAAGTTTGGTGACAGCCTGGGCTGCTTGAGACCTTGGCCTCACTCGAGGGATGACAGGAAGTGGAGGTGAATAGAGAAGGACCCCTAGCAGCCTCCTCAAAAGCAGGTGCACTTGCACCACACATATATGCAAATATGCATACAAACACACACACACACACACAGAGACCATATTTCGCAAGACATAAAAACCAGGAACAGTAAACTTAAGAAATTTTGAGCTGGCCAGTAGTGGCACACACCTTTAATCGTAGTACTTGGGAAGCAGAAGCAGGTGGATCTCTGTTAGTTTGAGGCCAGCCTGGTCTACAGAGCCAGTTCTAGGAGAGCCAGAGCTACACAGTAAAACCCTGTTTGGGGAAGAAAAAAAAAAAAGGTTTTTTTGGTTACATAATATTCAAATTGTTAACAGTAGCTGTGAAAACATTGTAAATTAAAATATGAACTAGCAGCCTAGCATGGTGGCATATGTTTTTAATCCCAGCAGATATTTATGAGTTCAAGGATAGCCAGAGCTATATGGTGAAGCATTGTCTCCAAAACACAAACAAAAATCACAAAGTAGCTAATGGGAAAATGCTGTCAGATAAACACAAACACAAAATGGTTTTAGACTTCGGTAAAATGGAAACTAAGCAAAATCAGGACATGAATAGCTCTGTCATACACACACACACACACAAAAGTGTGTGTCAACCATGTGAGAAGTTGCCTGCTCTCATTAATAAAAAAGCAGCTGGCAGGGGTGGTGCACTCCTTTTAATCCCAGCACTCAGGAGACAGAGGCAGGTAGATGTCTTGTGAGTTCGAGGCCAACCTGGTCTACAGAGCGAGTTCCAGGACAGGCTCCAAAGTGACAGAAATCCTGTCATGAAAACTAAAAATCAAAAACAAAATATTTTTAAGGTAGGGTCTCACTGTATGCTCTAGCTACCAACAAACTCACAGTATAGACTAAGCTGGCATCTCAGAGAGCTCATCTGCTGCTGTTGCAGTACTGCTGGAATTAGAGAAGTGTGCCATACATGTAGCCAAAACTGTGTGAAGGTCACTTTAAGATTTACTTATTGTACTGTATGTGTATGATCATTTACCTACATATTTCTTTCTGTGCACCAGTGTGTTTCTGATGCCTCGGGGAGCCAGTAGACAGAACCCTGGGACTAGGTGCTTTTAAGTCAGCATGTTCATAGTGGGATGCTTAGACCTCTGTAAGAGCAACAAGTGCTCTGAACTCCAGCCCCTAAAACTAATTTCTTTAATTGACTAAATTAAACATTCAAATTCATAGTATCCATATACAAATCCATGATATAGAAAGCACACTGATTTCTGCTTCTCTTTAGAGTATAGTGTTACTGACTGAAAATGGCTGTTTTCCCTAAAGGCTTCCAAAGCTGAATGTATTTCAGACCACCTGATATCTAATGCAGATCCACAGCTGGCTTTACCAGTCCACAAGAAACAAATCCATATGTTGTTACACATAGTAATCACATGTAAAACCTCAATTTTAAACTGCTTGCCAGTTTGTTCATCTGCCTGAAGAATTGACATGGGTGTCTGAATATTCCAGAGTTGGGCCATCACATTTTCTGTAACCTACAAAGAAGGCTACAGTAGGTTAGCTAGTAGGTATGCAGTTAGAAGAATAATTTGATTAGATATTGGTATTTATAGTCTACAGCATCTTGATTATTTCATAGTAGAACATTGTTCATGGGCGTTTATCCACTAGCTGTTGCCATAACTTCCTTAAGATAATGATGTGTGGGAATAACACTACTATAGAAAACCACTCAGAATTGTAACAGCTCCAAGAAACTGTGACTGGTTTATATATACATATGAATATATGAGCCGGACAGTGGTGGTGCACGCCTTTAATCCCAGCACTTGGGCACTTGGGAGGCAGAGGCAGGCAGATTTCTGTGAGTTCGAGGCCTGCCTGGTCCACAAGAGCTAGTTCTAGGACAGGCTCCAAAGCTACAGAAAAACCCTTTCTCGAAAAACCAAAATAAGTAAATAAGTATATGAAATATTTTATTTTCATAGCAATCTTGGAAGTACTAAATATTCTGAAACAACATTTCCCTACAGAAGCAGCTTGAAAGGTGTTTCTTTTACTGACAAACCATATAAAAGCTTCTACAGTCTCAGGTTCTCTGACAAAAGAGATGTTTTTGAGTGAGGAATGGGACAAAGTATGAACCTTGCTTAAAGATGCCTGAAGTCACAGGATAAAGAAATTTAAGTGTTTACAGAATCCATTGCATTTTAGGTGTGCCATTCTATTTACTGAGGGAAAGCCTAGAAGTGCACCCGAGACTGACAAAAGTGGCTCAGCAGTTAAGAGGGCATGCATGTCGTTCATACAGACGACTGGGATCTGTTCCCAAAACCCACTCCATCTGTGACTCCTGCTCCAAGAGATCTGATGTCTACTTCTGTAATCTGGGCAGGTGCACACATACACACAAAAACAATATATAAAAGATAAAGAAGTATATCTGAGAGTTGGGCGACTGCTTCTCCGTGTGCTTTATACCCAGTGAATGACATAGGTATTGAGGAAGTGTATGTACAGTTAAGAGAATATTGGCCTCTCACTCATCCCCAGTGCTTTGTGAAATTGCAAGAAAATTCAGAAACCCTGGTGCTTCAGAATAACCTTCTGTCCAAAGGAAACAACTTGTGAAGGAATTTGAAGGACTGGAAGGTGACTCAGTTCCCCCTGGTTGGCATAGCGTTGTCTAGAGCTTACTATATGAGCTGGCTTAGGAAACATTCTTGGATTGGTAATTATCTATGTTCATTGCTGTATTACATAGTATTTCAAACTAATTCCCTCAGTGCTGCACTGCCTAAAATAAAGCTAATATGCTGCTAGTGTTGGTGAATCTAAAAGTAACAAGGCTCGAAGTAGTTCAGTGGGAGAGCATCCCACATAGCATGCTAAAGTCCCTGGGCATAAGCCCCTGTACAGTGTGGCAGGGGAAGTATTATGTTAATTAAGCAATGGTACAGGTAAATGTGAAGATCATAAAATGATACCAGAGGGTTTGAGTAAATGTAAATTAATGAAAAGAATATTAGTGTTAGAATTAGATAAATGTGGGATAGATGTAACTAACAGGCTTTGAGATAAATTAGGAGACTATTACAAACTCTGTTCAAGGAAAAGAAACAAGCTGAGCATGGTGGCGTACACCTGCAACCCTACCACTTAGGAATTGGAGGCAAGGTCATCAGGAAGTCAAGGGCAACTTTGGTTGCATGAGAACGTCTTAGGAAAAAGAGCAAAAATTGTTGCCCTGCTTCCCCACCAAAACAATAACAACAACAAAAGAAAAAATAAAATAAGAATTAAAGTAATACTTTTCAAAGCTGAGATATTTTAATGTGTTTATCTGACATACCTAATATAGTAGGTGTCAATAAATGTTCCTTTCCCTCTTGTTTTTAAACATGGTTTAATATCAAGACATCACCAGGGTTGCTTTGTTGTAGGGATTAATGTTGGCATTTTGTAGCTGTTGAAAGGAAGGAGGATTATTTTACTTTGAGGAACAATTGAAGAAAGAAAAAGTTAAGGAAAACTTTAGTGATAATACAGACTTATATCCGAGCAGCAGTCTGGAGACTTTTGACTACTGGCAGACTGAAGAGCTGGATATACTAAGAGGCTCTGCATCTGTAGGTCACGTGGTCTTGGACTTTTTGTTGTTCTTTGTCTTAATGTTTTGTTATCAACATTTGAAAATGTGGAAACTTTCAGGTTTAGGAGTTCAACACCTGTAATCCCACAGTTCTGAGGCAGAGACAAGAGAATTGTGGGTTTTGAGACCAGCTTTGGCTATGTGTCAAGAGACCATGGTGTCAATGTTAAATAAAAATAAAAAGCCATTCCCAACTCACCCAACCATAAAACAGGTGGCGTCAGACTTGGTCCAAGGGTGAACCCTTATTTTGTGACCAGTTACAATGAAAGAATATGTGACTAAAGAAACCATTTCCTGGAGCCATAACTTGATGGCTTGTATGTTTGTATGTGTTATGATAAATACTTCCTGCTTCATCTAGTTTAGGTTAGTATAATTAGAGAGGATGAGCAATGTCTTGTCTTAACAAGGGACTAGTAGGCTTCATTCTGAAAGAGATCCCTAACTGTGTAATTTGCTGTTTAAAGATCTCAAAGCCTTAGTCTAACCCAAGAGCTGGCAAACTACAACCCACCTACTAATAGTTCTTAAAAGCCAGCAGCTACCTACTAAGAGTAGTTTTCATATTTACATACTAAGGAAATTAGAATGTTTTATGACACATGAAATTTGTGATTCAAATTTTAATATTTGTTAAGATTTGCTTGTAGCTAGTCAACCTTAGTTGCTGCTCTATCTGCCAGTTTGGCATTGCCTTTACAGCCTTGAGTAGCCACAGTGCTTATACTTACTGTTTGCTCTCTATAGAAAATCTTGTGAACTCCTGACCCAGCCCATACTTTTTAACTGGAAGATACCTTATATCCTGTTTCTTCTCTGTAGTTATGTTATTCTTGAAAGTGGAGAGATGCAGAAGTAGAACATTTTATGGAGGGAGCTGACACTGTAGTTTCTGTAAGAGAGGCAGAGAGGATGGAGGGGAGGAGGAATGTATGAAAATCTGACACCTAGAAGAGGTTGAAATTAGAAGTTTCAGAACTTGGGCTGTAGCTGGGTAGTAAAGTCTTATCTAGTTTATGTGTCTGAGCCCTTAGTTTTACACCCCAGGAAAACACACACACACACACACACACACACACACACACACACATGCATGTACATACACACACGCACGCACAGAGAAGTCCTAACAGCATGGACAGTCCCAAATCTTATCTACCTAGAAGGTCCTGAGGACAAGGCAAGAAGACAGTAGTTGACTCAGCAGTGTTTACTTCCTGGCACACAGAGAAACAAAAGGGGAAGAGATGAGATGTTTTAGAATGCAGTTCTCATCACCTTCTTCCCCACCCCTGTAACAAGCCTGGAAAATTGTCTAAAGATTTCCTTAGTCCAAGAAAACTTTGAAAACCCCAGATAAGTTCAGTACTCAGAAATAAAGAGCTGGCTGAAGTTGTTGTCTTAGATACTTCTGGGAATGAGGTGTATGGTGTATAAATAAATTCACAATTCTGCATTCTCGATTTTTGCAGTGCTTAAAACATTGCAGTGAGTTCTCTCGTGTTGTATATATTTCTAAGAATACAGAGAAGATGCAGTTGAAACCAGAGATAGCTGACAGTATTGTACCTGCAGTTCAGTAACTCAGCTGTATAACATAGTTATAACCTGTTCTGATTTTTATTTTTCAAATATTAGGTGTCCTGGTTGCCTATGAAGGCTTGCCACTTCATCTTGCACTGTTCCCCAAACTTTGGACTGAGCTGTGCCAGACTCAGGTAAAGCAAATGGGTTCACATGATTGATCTCATCCAGCCAGATTACCGGGAATTTTTAGAACAACTGAATAAAAACTGAATGTTAGAAATTCGGAATGTTGTAGAATTAAGGGAATTACTACCTGCTAGAATTTCATTCAAACTCACACTTTGTATAGGGGAATTCCAAATAAGATGTTTATCTTGGATTTCTTATCCATAGCTTCTGGGAAAGTCTAAAACCCTGAGGTAGTGGAGGAAGCAAGCTCATATAGCCCTCCCAGCTCCTTCCACCCTACTCTTCACACATCTCCAACAGAAACCTTTAACTCTGCCTGGTTGTGGGTCTCAGAATCTCACTGAGAACAGGACAGTTTTAGCTAATACCAAATAGAACAGAAAATCCCTCACCCACTTCATTTCAGAGTGACCTCCAGTCAGGCATGGTGATGCTTGCCTGTAACTGCAACCCCAGCATATGCTGAGCAGGATAGCCACAAATTTAGGGCCAGAGTTTGGCTACATAACAGGACCCAAGTCTTTAAAGCCAGCACATCAACACTTAAGTAATGCTTGTTAAGATGTTGAAGAATTTGTGAAGAAAGCCAGATTAGCCAGGTTAGTCTAATTTAAGGTTTGTCTCAGTTCTTGTATATGGCCTAAAAGATTCCCACGAACATAAACTCTGGTTGTATCTCCAATTGTTTACCATGCATTACCATAATAAAGGTTATTTCCTGCCCCAAACTATGAGACTGTATAGAGCATCATCTGTTCCTTTGAAGAATGTCAGTTTTTGTGGTAGTACTTACGACTGCTGGGCAAAAGTTTCTGAACTATTACTACAAAGAACTTTAATTATTATTATACAGGAAAATATTATAGGAATCTGTGAAAGATATTGATCCCAGTCTGCTGATATGACTGGCATTCAGAAAATGACTTTCTGGTTTATTTTTGAGTCAGGGTCTCCCTTTGTAGTCCTGGCTGTCCTGAAACTCACTGTATAGACCAGGCTGGCCTCAAACTCAAGAGATCCACCTGCCTCTGCCTCCTGAGTGCTGGGATCAAAGGCCTGTGCCACCATACCCGGCTGTATTTTAATTCTTAAAATTTGTCTTTTCTTGGTTATCTATTAAGTCTATCCATTGATTGTCCCCTTAAAACATTCATGTTCTATTCTTTAAGGCTTGTTCTTTAATCCTTAACTCTGTGCTGGGTGGTAAGGCTACATTAAGTATTTGTTGTTTGGGTGGGGCTGGAGGAATGGCCAGTGCTAGGAGCATTTGCTGCTTTTCCAGAGGACCCAAGTTCAATTTCCAGCACCCATGTGGCAGCTAACAACTGTAACTCCAGTTAATGGGGAATCCAACACCCTTTTCTGACCTCTGACATTGGACAGGCACATATGTATGCAAACAAGTACACACACAGAACACGTTGAGTTTTGCCATTGTCTTTCTCTAGCAAATTGCTACAGTTCCACCTGTAACTGAACATTGTCCAAGTCCCCAGCTGCTAACTGCTGTGTTTTTCTCCACTTTAGTCCACTATGTCAAAAAACTGCATCAAGCTTCTGTGTGAAGATCCTGTTTTTGCAGAGTATATTAAATGTATCCTAATGGATGAAAGAACTTTCCTAAATAACAATATTGTCTACACATTCATGACACATTTCCTTTTAAAGGTATGTATGTAGTTCTGAAATGCCTTTTCTGCTTAATTAATGTGTGCTTATTATGTTCGTCTTGAATTTTAAGACTTGTCCTTGCATGTGTGCATACGCAAAATATGTGTTCTTTTCTAGGTTCAAAGTCAAGTGTTTTCAGAAGCAAACTGTGCTAGTTTGATCAGCACTCTTATCACAAACTTGATAAATCAGTATCAAAACCTACAATCAGATTTTACCAACCGTGTTGAAATTTCAAAAGCAAGTGCTTCCTTAAATGGGGTAAGAACTGTGCCAAGAAGTTCAAAATTCACCTTAATATCAGCTCTTGTATGTGTCCTCTTTAAACATTAAAGTCATAATGGTTAAAAAGGATCACGTATGAAGAAAACTATTTCAATTAAGTGTTTGTTGTGTTATGTACACTTAAAGCACACTTTCCATTATTGAGAACATATAACCAAATGGCATTCGATATATTAAGGGCAACGAGACCAGAAAGAACTGATTATAGGCACATACTTATCATAGCACTTGAGAAGCAGTGGCAGGAAGATCACTGGCAAGTTGGACACTAGCCTTAGAATACAAGTTCCAAGCCAATCAGGGTCAGCATGACTGTCAAAAACAGAATAGGTCCCTTATCTCTGCTGTGTGTGTGAGAGAGAGGGAGAATTATCTGTGGCTCCCAAGTAATCAGAACAGTCACACTTATGATTATAAAAGCAGCAAAGACTAGAGAGTATGTTTATGTAGATTCTGCCAGCCATAGAATGGAACATGTTGGAAACATGCAGACTTATCATCCAGCCGCAGGCCCCTAATGAATAAGATGCTTACAAGCTATGCAGGGTTTTTTGTTGTTTTGTTTTTACTTTTATGGAGACAGAACTGAGCTTGAGAAACTATGACTCCTATGAAATCAAATCCAGATTTTATTTGAAATTACAGTATTATTTGAATCACTATGTAAGCCTAAGCTGCATTATTTGGTTTCTGTTTCAAGAGTCTATTCTTTCATACTTGACATAGGCACAAAATGAAACAATGCTATAAACTGATGGAATACTGTAACGTGCTAATAGATTCCTGGGAAATAAACATCTTCATTTAACTGTGAAGTTGTCTAAATGTTGCCTTTAGGATTTGAACTCTTCCTGTCTGGGTTTCTGTAGGACCTGAGGGCACTTGCTTTGCTCCTGTCAGTACACACTCCCAAACAGTTAAACCCAGCTCTGATCCCAACTCTGCAAGAGCTTCTGAGCAAATGTAGGACCTGTCTGCAGCAGAGACACTCACTCCAAGAGCAAGAAGCCAAAGAAAGAAAAACTAAAGGTTAGCTTTGTCAACTAAGTCATTGGCTGGGGCTGGGGCTGGAAGGATGATGACAAGCTGGAGGTATGGCTCAGTGGTTGCTCTTGACTAGTATTGCAAGCCCTCAGCTTCGACCTCTAGTAAAAAGACTGAAACAAAACACTGGCTTCTCACAATTGTCCCCAGTAGGATTTTAATCTTTTGAGGAAGATTCTGTTTTTATGTATTTTTCCCCCACAGATGATGAAGGGGCAACTCCTGTTAAAAGAAGGCGTGTGAGCAGCGATGAGGAGCACACTGTAGACAGCTGCATTGGCGACATAAAAACAGATACCAGGGAGGTCCTGACCCCCACTAGCACCTCAGACAATGAGACAAGAGACTCATCCATTATTGATCCAGGGACGGAGCAAGACCTTCCTTCCCCTGAAAATGGCTCTGTCAAAGAGTATCGGATGGAAGGCCTATCTTCGTTTTCAGAAGATGGGTCACATATCCGGTCGCAGCATGCAGAGGAACAGTCAAACAGTGGCAGGTTTGATGACTGTAAAGAGTTTAAAGACCTTCACTGTTCCAAGGATACTACACTAGCTGAAGATGAATCCGAATTCCCTTCTACTTCCATCTCCGCAGTTTTATCTGACTTAGCTGATTTGAGAAGCTGTGATGGTCAAGCTTTGTCCTCCCAGGATCCTGAAGCTGCTTTATCACTCAGTTGTGGCCATTCCAGAGGCCTCTTTAGTCACGTGCAGCAACACGACATTTTAGATACCCTATGTAGGACCATTGAATCAACAATCCATGTGGTCACAAGGATATCTGGCAAAGGAAATCAAGCTGCTTCTTGACATTAGATGTGGCATGTCTACTTTCAAGTGCCCCTCCCCCTTGCCGTTTGTCTAAATTTTGCTTATTTGTTTTGTGCTTCAGTTTGTCCAGTGCTCTCTGCTTGAATGGCAAGATAGATTTATAGGCTTAATTCTTGGTCAGGCAGAACTCCAGATGAGAAAACCTTGCATCTTCTGTATACTTTCTAAAGGGCAATCAGATAATGGATATGTTTTATGTAATTAAGAGTTCACTGTAGTGGCTTTCATTTAATAAGGCTTTCTGGGAGAATCAGGGCTCTGACCCTGTACAATGTAATTTAAACTTACAGCATTTTTACTGTGTATAATATGGTGTCCTCTGTGCCAGTTTTGTACCTTAAAATAAGAGAGGCAGATTGCCTCTGATCGCTGTGGTTCTTATTATCAAAATTAAGTTTACTTGTATACGGAACAACCACAAGAAATTTGATTCTGTAAAGAATCCTCTTTAGCTGTGGCCTGGCAGTATATAAATGGTGCTTTATTTAACAGAATACCTGTGGAGGAAATAAAGCACACTTGATGTAAAAATAACTGTTTTATTTTTATTGAAATGACTGCCTCTTCTGTGTACTTAAACTGACTGTGATGCCTTTGTTACATAAGTTGTTTCAGTTCCCTCGGACGACAGCCAGCCCATGAGCAGACTGAAGACAGGAAGCATATAGCCTTCTGCTTTGCTGTTTGAGAAGTCCCTCAGCAGTCCAAAACAGGAACTGACCATGTGGATGTCTCACCAAGGAAAGCCAGAAAAGCGTAACAATGCAGCCAACTAGCCCTCACCACAACACCACTCCTAAGAACTACATCTTGAAAACTGGAGTAGAATAAAAGAATAGTATAACATGCCATTTATTTCTCTTAAGCTTAAATCAACTGTAGCAATGAAGTAGCATGTTGGGACCAGCTTTAGCTTGGGGAACTGGACTTCACTTACTTTCCAGAAAGGAACACCCATGGAAGGTGAGACGACACCTGATTTTACTCAGTGCAGAGTCTAGAATACATCAAGCAATGCTTATATTCTGTAGTTTCATTAATTTCATCCAATATAAAATAAATTAGAGACCTTGGGGGAGGGGACTTTGAGGAAGAAAGAAGAGGTAAGTAAACAGGCCAGGTTTCTGCTTACAAAAGGAAGTCCTTATAAAACCTAACTAATTCAAGCATTCTGGGTGGTGAGCTGAAGTAAACCTTTTATTTCTTCAAAGTGCTGCTTCTGCCAACAGAATTTTGTATTCTCTTCTTTACAGACAGGAACTCCTTTACAGTCCAATTGTAATTCCGTTTGCCCTGGAGCAGGCACAAAATTCAATGCAACTGTTGCATAGTGTTCTGGGGGAATAAAACCAGGAGCCTTATTATACCAAGAAGAAGAAACTGTATCCCAGCTTTAGTTTGCTGGTATATATAAAGTGCACACAGCATACCTTCTGGCCAGTTCCTGCACCTCCATTTCATGATGATCTTCCTGTTTGTTAACTGAAAACAAAGACAATTCTCAGAAAACATTTATTGAAACTTGCCCAATACAACAGAAGAAACAAACCCTTTTCAAGTTAAGTTCCTCTTACTAGAACCAACAAGTAGCATACAATTCTATCTTCCAATTTACACATCAATGTACACATCAAGGACAAAGCTATGGTAATAACTGGTAGCTACAGAACTGATGGAAAAGGCCACTGATATCTGGCAGTTTGGACCCTTAATGATGTAGAAAGGGGAGCTTGAAGCCTCCAAAACAATATTAGGCAGAATAGAGCGTGTTACGCTATTTTTGTAGAATTACTATCAAAGTAAGGCTTTGACTTTATCATTATATATATATATTTTCTTTTCTACAATGAACTTTATTAAAGAATTTGAGACTGAACTCACCAAAAGCTTTAAAACAATTAAAAATAACGAGTGAAAGGAGCAACAATTGCCCCCTATCACCACTGTAACCTTGTAGTTACTTACTTACCAGTTCCACATATTCTCCAGTGATGTTCCCATCAAACATCTGGAATTTCCCTCCCTTTTCAGCTTCTAAGACAGCAGGAGATTTGGAAAATTTTTGCACCAACTAGCCAAACAAAACAGACATGTTATTCTAACACATGCTGTCACCCTGTGCATGTGGTGAGGAATATACCAGCATCTTATATGCCAGGTCTGCATTTTTCAGTGGTGTGGTTTTGCTTAATTGTTAGACATCAAAGCTTTCTTTTTTTTATAGAGGAGGGAAGGGAAATTTACATAAAATCTCCCAATTGCTGATACAGCCCACAAGTGCTCATTGTTGTACCCTCAAGTTATTCAATCACCAATGTCCCTGAAGCCCTTCCTTCAAAAACAGACTGTGACATGGCTACAAACCTCATTTGGTAGAGTAGCTCAGAGAGTTACTTACGTCCTTCACGGTGAAGATACTGTACAGCTGTTCTACTGTGGTGTCAAACAGCTCAGTCAAGTGCAAAGCTACAGTGGGAATCCTTACACCCAGTGCCACTGGAGAAGCCTGCACCTCAAGATGAGAAAGAGATTCAAGAGGATGGGGAGCATACCAGAAGAGAACCTCAGGATTCCTACAAGGTCAATCCTACAAGTTGCACACTGCTGCCTCCACTCGCATAAGAACAGCATTAAAGTTCTTTGCTCCAGCAGTGCTGGCTTTTATGCTAGGAGCCGTTTAACACCTCTGATCTCAGTTCTGTACAAAGGGACCCAGCACAAAACATGTACAAAGGGACCCAGCACAAAACAACAGGGTCAAAGATGACCAGACCATAAGGTTGTGAATTCCATGCATATATTCCTGCCCACCAACTCTAAATCCTAATGTCAGGACAGAACATTATTCCATCACAATATATGAGCTTAAATGTCACTTGCTTTTGCTGGCTATGATAGCTCACACCTCCACTCCCAGCAGTCAGAAGTTTGAAGCAGAATCACCATGAGTCTAGGCTAATCTATCAACCAATGACTTAAAAATAATTTATGTTTAGTGTTCTCATCCATCAAGAATTAGAACCTCAGGCTAGAGGTGAGTTCTGTGGTAGGGAGCATGCCCAGCATCTGACAGCCCTCACACTTAACACAAAAAAGCAATCCCATAAAATGATGTCACTATCTTTTTTAAGGGGAAATGTGTAAATCAAAACCCTTTCCTCATCTACAACCCAGTATCAAAAGGGTGTCTGGAAAGTCATTAAGGCATCCTTACTACACTTTAGCCACCAGGCTCATACCTGCAAAGAGTTCTCAGCCAGTGTCCTCTCAACAGTCAGTTCCTGGGTTGTTACAGCCCTTGTTGGTAAAATCATTCCTGCTGTAAATTCTATAAGTAAATAGGAAGATTTTGTTAACATACTTCCTTTATCTAAACTGGCATTTTTTCAAAAGAACATTTTGTGGCCTTGAAAATAACTCCATGTTCTTACATGTATTACTGGTACTTACTAGCAAAGGCCCTTTTATTCATGCTCCAATGCCTTGCTTTACCGCATTCCTCTAAAATGCTAATTTTTTTCACAAGTTCTTTTCTAAATAGGTTGTACATTAACTGTTAGTAGTTTATGGTCTCTACTCTGCACTACCCCTTAAAAGCTTATTCTCACCCAGTCTTCATGCCTGGGAAGTCTTGTGGGACTAGTGCTGACCCCAAACCTGTGTATGCCAGTACCTGGACAGTCAGTGAGCAAGCTTAAAGGATGAATTGTAGAGAAAGCCCTGCTGGATACTGCCCAGCTCTCATCTCTAATACGAGAAAATAATACCCTCGCTTCTGTACAATATAGGGATTATCTAGGTATTATCGATACCTGTAATATCTGGTCACTTTCATTCATACATTCATTCACTCAGCAAAGATTTATTAAGCACCTACTATGTGCCAGGCATTGTGCTAGACTGGTGACATGGATTCCTGAAAATATGAGACACCTTCCATGCCCTCATGGAGCATATAGTCTAGCAGGGAAGACAGACATTAAACAAGTAATTACACAAAAACTATTCCGTTGGGGAGGGGGTTTCTTTTTTGAACAAGGTCTCACTATATAGCCCAGCCTAGCCTCAAACCTGCAATCATCCTCCTACCTCAGCTTCCCAAATGCTTAGAGACAGTAAGTGTGCCATCATGCCCAGCTCAGGAAACTGCTGACAAGTGGCGGTTATTAGTCTTACCCACAACTAGCTTCCAACACCCAGACTACAACTTATTCTGCAGTCTAAAGGTGTTTCAGGAGCCTGCCTTGGGAGTCCAGCCCTCATGCAAAACATAATTGGGTAAACAGCAAGGGACCCTGTGGTTCACAAGGGATGCCTTCTTTACCAGTCTTCAGTGCCTTCAGGTACTCTCCAAGGGCCTCCCTGACCTTGGCGGTGCCTGTAGTTTTCATAAGATCCTTCAGTATATCCCCATCTCCTTTCTTTTTACTCACGTTCACCTGCAAATCAGAAGAATAAAAACCTAAGAAAAAACTGATGAATGTATTCTTCCAACACTGGATCCTATTGAGAACAACTGTGGGAGAGAAAGGAAGTGGTCGCAGTCACAGAGGAGTTAAGAATTTTTAGGTGAGTACTGGCCGCCACGTTGTGAGCGAACTGTACAGAAGATGAACATTTAACTTGCTTTGAAATTGTCTAAATACAGGAGTTTATAAATAAACTGCTTGTGGCTTTATCTAGAGAAGGTCTGGTATGGCAGCTACTTGTGGCTGAGCATTTAACAAGTGCCTGGTCTGAACTATGTTATAAAAACTAATACACCAGACTCCAAAGACTTAATACAGAAAAAAAAAGGTAACATACCTCATCAATTATTTGCTAATTACATGTTAAAATCATACTAACTCTCTACTTGATACTGGGTTAAAATTTTCTAATTATTCTATCTGGTTTTTAATGTGGCTACTAGAGAAATTAATTTGATTATGTAAAGCAGCGCTTGTCTACAAACCCAAATCCATCACCCAAGAAAATCAAGTTCGCATATAACTTGACCTTGGGCCCTTGAAAGAGGAAAAATGGAAGAGGAAAGCAACAGAAAGGAGACAGTGATGCGTTAAATGGTCTGGATATTCTGATAGCAAAAAGGTGTTGGTCTCAAACTACAGCAGGTCCCTGTAATTCTGGAGTGGGCTGCATCTGAATCTGGCATTGGCTTGGCCAGATGCTACTGTAGGACAGACCTTTAGACCACCAGGAAGCTGCATTGTTGACCCCTATGTGGTGAGACTACAGCACCCGAGTGGAGCAAGCTAAGTCTGCGACAGGTCCACTTTATAAAGCTGAGACAGGGCTTTGCCAGTGTCTCTAGCTTTGGAAATTACAGCTGCTGTGCAACAGTGACAATGTGGAGAGTCAAGTAGCATGGGAATGAGCCAGCTCCTCGTGGGGGACAAGAAAGCCAGCAGTTCAAAAGTAAGTGGTTCATTAAAAGCAATGAGGGAGTATAGCTAAAGGCTGAGAACTGTCACACCAAGGGGAAGAACAGTCACACTGAGCAAGTCATGCAAGTGGTCTGAGCACTACCTGAATACATCCCTGAAGGATAAATTAACTACACAGATGAGAAAGCCAGCTGCTGCAGTCAGATACCTGCCCAGGCATCACACCTGGCCCTGGGTGCCTGAAGCTTCCTAGGGCTTCCTCCTTTCCCCACACCTCTGTTCCACCTCTTACACACCCAGAGTGCAGTGGCAGACAGCCTCCAGAATTCACACCTACACAATAGACCCACACATCCAGAGGAGTAGTCTGCAAATGCCCACCACCTATAGCAGAAGCTTGACTAAAAAGGAGAACTCCAGCAAATACCTCAGTGTCATCAACGTCATTCTCTTCAGAAAGATTGGGTATCTCAATCAGTCCCTTGTGTTTTGCGCCAGATTCTTTAACTGTACCTAAAATGAGCAAAATGGGCACAGTTAATGACTAGTTTTATTTAAAAGTCCTCTGCCTGACTGAATAGCCCACATGTGGTTCTACCCCTCTTCCACGGTGTTATATTGATGTTAGGGCCACATCAGAGAACAACCAAGACAGGTGGCTGCCCTAACACGTTTCTCACCCACTTCCCTTGTCCTCCAGTGCTCTTTGCCATGACAAGCAAAAAAGGCTATTTTGAGGGGAATAAGGCAATAGAGGGCCCAAGTGGGCAGAAAGGGACATGTGGAGAGAGAGGGACAGAAGGAAAATGAGCTCTGACCACGGAAAGCTTCAAAAGCTATGGCTTGGCAAAGCCTTGGTGAAGTTGTATTTCTTCCCACACTAAAGCTTCAATATCCTCAAAGACACAGTGGGCAGTCCTTGCAGCCAGCTCCTGGTTAGACCTGGAGGCCTCCTCTTGTTTGAACTGCGTATCACTCTTATTATACTGGTTTGGGGAAGCAGAGAGTACTTAATTTTACTCAAAGTTTGAGTACCAGGCTCACAGGCAGGGATACGCACCTGGAACAACGTTTAGAAACAGCCACACTGAGACACACTAAGCCACACTTAGGCATAACCTACAGAAATTTCATTGCTGCCACCCATAACAGGCTGTTCTCCAGTCCTTTATGAGCTGAGTTATGTCACACAGGCATTAAAAATGACTGATTTTCTGAGGCCTGACCATATATGTAACAACTTCAAATGCTTGGAGGTTTGTTCTTACTTGTTGGTTGGTAAATCTCATATATTAACTTAATCCAGAATTCATGCCTTCTGGGGCCTGGAATACTTTTTTGTTTGTTTGAGACAAAGTTTCTCTGTGCAACAGTCCTGGCTGTTCTGGAACTTGTTCTGTAGCTTGACTAAAAAAGCTGGCAAGGCTAGTCTCAAATTCACTGAGATCCACATGCCTCTGCCTCCCAAGTGCTGGGACTAAAAACGTGTACCACCACTGCCCAGCTCTTGTTTATTTTTCAAAGCACAACACACACCAGACTCATCAAAGTTGTGAGACATGGACCTGACTGCAGAAGGGTGCAGACCAACTTGCAGTACACACAGGCTCTGGACATCTTCCGCTAACACTGGCAAAGCCTAATATCAGAAGAGCCCTCCCTTGGCTTGGACAGAGAGCCGAGGCTCCAGAAGTGCTACTCTGATTAGATTCTCTGAAGGGAGTGGATGTAAGAGACAGAAATGCCAAAATGCAGAAGTCAGCCCCAGATCCCCATCTACCTCTTCAACTTGAGATGCCCATGTGATTGATGCTGACTTACAAGGGAAGTGCCAAGGAGTAGAATAAGGGTGATGAGGTCCTTAGGACACTGGCCTGCCTACTTGCCTTTACTTCCTGCCCTTGCCCTTAGCAGCCATAGGTCCCATGGCTTCATGCCCACTTTGGTTTCTTTACCCCACCCCACCCCCAAGGAACTGCCCAGAGATAATGAGCTTCAAGAAGGTCTTATTCCACACACAGACAACAGGAGCACCAGTCAGCAGATTCAGCTCCATGATGGCCACTTCAGAGGGACCTTCAAGACGCTTGATTCTGCACCAAAGACTGTTTCCATGGCAGCAATAGATATTTCTTAACCCTCCTGGATATGAGGATTGTCTTGTCAGGGAAAAAAATGGGGTTGTCTGGGCCAAGGAAATGAAGAGCTACATACAGGTCATGAGGCTCTTCGAGACTCCTGAGTCCTGCTACAATCCAGCTAGCAGCAGCCAAAGCAAAAGAGTTAAGGGCAACTCCCAACTGGAAGCAACTGTTAATAGTCAGACACCTAATATCTAACCTAGAGTCTCTGTACACTAGGCGAGCATTCCATTACAAGCTACACCCAAAGTTCTTGGCTTTTAAGAAGTAGATCTATGTAGCTCAGGCTAGCCCTAACTTAAATTTTCTGGAAATACTTTGATGTTTGAAAACCTCCTTGAAGCCAGGCAGTGGTGGCACACGCTTTTAATCCCAGCACTTGGGAGGCAGAGGCAGGGGGATCTCTGTGAGTTCGAGGCCAGCCTGGTCTACAAGAACTAGTTCCAGGACAGGCTCCAAAGCTACAGAGAAACCCTTTCTTGAAAAAAAACAAAAAAGAAAAACTTCCTTGACTCCTGCACAATTACATCAGCCCAGCCTAATGAGCTCCTCTCTGTCACACACTACACAGACAGGAGCCAACTCCAGGACAGACACCCAATGTTTTTCCTCCTTTGTGTGTGCGTGGGGGGGGGGGGGATTTAGACAGAGGTTCCCTCCCCTCCCCCCCCAGACAGGGTTTCTCTGTAGCTTTTGGTTCCTGTCCTGGAACTAGCTCTTGTAGACCAGGCTGGTCTCGAACTCCCAGAGATCCGCCTGCCTCTGCCTCCCGAGTGCTGGGATTAAAGGCGTGCGCCACCACCACCCGGCTGACCAGGCTGACTTTGAATTCAACAGTGATCTGCCTGCCTCTGCCTCCTGAGTGCTGGGATTAAAAGTGTGTGCTACTACTGCCCAGCAGAGACCTAAATTTTTAGCATAGTGAAGTCTTCCATAACCAAATCTCTTGTTTTGTCCTCTTCCTGCTCCTGAGTCTGATTCAACATGTATTGACCCAAAAGTTAAGTGTCCTAGTAGAACTTGGAAAAGATAAGAAAACCGCCAACAAAAATGCCCCCGACTGGTGCACAGACAAAATGTGGTCTATGCACACAATAGATACAAAAAGCATAAAATACTGAAACATAGTACAACATGGAATGAAAAGAGTGTCAGGGAACTTTACATAGGATTGCATTCTAGCTATATGAACTGTCAGAGGCAAATCCACAAAGCCAAAACTTAAGCTAAAGACCCCAAGGGATGGGCTGGCAAGACAACTCAGTGGGTAAAGGAGCTTACTGCTGGAACCTCGTACCTGAATTCAGTTCCTGGAACCAAAAAAAAAAAAAAAAAGGGGGTGAGGAAAAGAGCCAACTCCACAAATGTGTCCTTGGACCTCATATGACCCACCATGGCACACATGCCCCCACACACATTGTATGCATACATATAATTTTTAAAAAGACCCAAGGGTGGCCTAGCAAGGAGGCACAGTGTGTAAAACCACTTGCTATCAATCCTGCTAACTTCAGTTCAATCCTTGGAGAACAAACACATGGTAGAAAAACGGACTTTTGCAAGATGTTTGCCTTCTACCCATATGCTGTGGCACACAACTCTTTGTGCGCACACACACAAATAATTTTAACATTTTTCAATAATTAAGAATTTTTGGAGCAAGCATTTGTGGAGGACGGGTGCTGCAAGCCGCAGCTCCAGGACACCCTAGTCACAGCAGCTGGTAAACCAGGGTTCAGCTGGAGTGCTGGGTAAAGTGCAGTTTCCAGACCCGCCAACTCCAAATGCACCTGAACACCAAGAACTTCAACTGCTAACTAAATGGAAAAACTGCCCAGCCTGCCTCTTGCCAGGACCCCCGTTACCTTTCCAGGACAGCTTGATGTTCCACTCATAGAAGAAAATTAGCTTTCCTTTGCGGCTGCTACAGGAAGCCTCACCTTCCACCTGCTTCAACTCACTGATCTCACACCGGCCAGCCTCATTCTCCATAGCAATGCCAACCAGGAGCTCCCGGAGCTTCCCCTTGGACCAAACGGTGGCATCCCGCTCTGTCCTGCCAGAGAACAGAAAGACACGGGTGAATGACCCAGGTGAATTCCATCTGCCCAGCCAGACGCCATCCAGACCAGGTGAGCCTTTACTCACACAGCCTCCCACTTGCAAATGGGCTTCTCCGACTAGCTTTCTATTAGGTATCTTCTAAGCCTGCTGCTCTGTTTCTTAAGACACTATTATTCATCATATTAAATGGGCAATCTTAAAAACAATGGCCCCGGGAATCAGAGTCCAGCAATCTCACCCATAGGAAATGGATGGGCTGAGGCCATCTGGAATGGTGGTAGTCATTTAAATAACCTTAATCACAGTATCAATTACTGAGCTTTCCCATATTTATCTTATACACTCTCCCTAATGCTCCCATCTGAAGGGATGGATGGCGGCTGTGAGAAGTCAGTGTCCTAGCCACGGAGCCTAGCCTAGAATACTAGACATCATTCTTTCAGGATAGCCAAGTCATCTACTGGTGCGGTCCGGGCTCTGCCCTGGGAATTGCCTCAGCTTTTCCCAACGCCCGTCAGAGAAGCAGGCATCTCCCGGTATTCCAGAGACACAAAGGGGGCAGGTAGCTAGCACAAACTGAGACAAAGCAAAGAAAGTGAGATCCAAGTCCCTGCCCTTCCAACTGCACACAGATACATCCCTCGGCACACACGCACGCGCACTACGCAGCTCAAGCCCGAGGAGGGCCTGGAGAAGGGCGACCGAGGCACAGACGTCGGGGGGTGAGGCAGAAGTCCCTCGTGGGGCTTGGCCCAACTTTCAGGAGGATCCTGAAGCCGAAAGGCCAGGGCAGTTAAGAACCGTCTCCCGCCAGGGGCAAGCGTGCTGCAGGGCCGCGCGGCCCTCCCCGGAGCCCGCCCGCGCCCGAGGCCCAGCCGCCCGCCCGACCGCCGGCCGCACCAGTGCCAGTTGTTCACGTTGGTCCCGTCTTCCCGCTCCTCCACGATCCAGCGCGGGTCCCCCTGGCCCCACTTGGCCATGACGGCGCAGGCGGCGCAGACGACTAGGACGCCGGTAGCGGGTACGCGCGGGTTTCCGGCCTGAAGGTTGGCGAGCCCCACACCCGCAGGTCCCAGAAAGTGCCAGAAGTCCCCGCCCCGGGCCGCTCCGGCCCCGGCCTGCCCCGCCCCCTGCAGCCCGCTCCCGGCCGCCTGCTCCGCCCCACATCAACTCCACCCACCGCCGCTTCGGCTCCGCTCCGCCCCGGACCCCGTTACGCCCACAATATGCCACACCTCCGGACACCGCCTTCTGCCAGGCTCCTCCCCCCACTTCGCCCCGCCCATGGCCCCCGCCCCTCTCCCCATAGGCTCCGCCTCACCCCTGGCTCGGTCCCTCCCCTAGGGCTCTGGCCCGCCCAGCAGCTCTCCTCTCACTGGTGCGCTGAGGACCCGCCCCTGGTCCCCGCAGCCGACCGGGCGTCAGGCCTGGGCCGCCTACTGACGGCCGAGACTCCACCCCGGGCTCGCACTAGCACTGGGTTTCTCAATTCCGAGAAGGCCCTTGGGCTGCGTGCGAGCTGCAGTTCTCTAAGCCCACCGCGGGGTTACTGAAGGAATACTTAACTTTATTCACGCAGTACTCTTCTAAAGACCGGCAAGGATTGTGCTTGCAAGCACATGGGATCAAGACACAGTTATAATTGGGTTTATTAATTATTTTCATCGCATAACAAAAACTGCAACAACCATCTGGAAAGTGTTACTTAGGCGATTTATTTAGCAAAGGAAATAGGTAGTTCAATGAGAAGTTGGAAAGGACCTGGCTGTGCTTACAACGCTCAGACTGCTGAAACAACGCTGTGACTCCCAAATCAAAATGACATTGTGAGTTCATCTGATCCTAGCAAAGCTTGGCCCAGCTGACCGAAGGCATCGGAGACTCAAGGGGTGATTGGCAGGTACTTTGCGGCTTTCTTTTTATCCAGATCCGATTGCTCCTAATAAAACATTATTTGATAAGGTTTAGATAATCATTTGAATCATTTGAAAATAAGACTTCAGAGGCCATAAGCTGCTATGATCGTAAAATGTGTAAACTCCAAAACTGTACAAGAGCTGATACCAATGGAAATAAATTCACTAAAGTGAGTGCGACTTTAGGCTGGAGATACGCAGACCGCTGGACCCTGAAGCGCTCTTCAGGCCTGCAAGTTCCCAGGTGCACTTATAGACTGGGACAATATTTGAGACCCTGAAGAGATTTTTAAACTGTCCAAGTTAATTGATGTTTTTCTCCATTTTCAAGAACCTGGTAAAGAAAAAGGTAAAAAAAAAAAAAAAAAAGAGCCCTTAAATGACAGTAAGCCTGGAGACAGTAGATCAAAGGCAGGAGGTGTGTCTGCAGACGTGAGAGACCTAACAGTCCTGGGCAGAGGACTGCAGTGAGCAGCCACGTCTCTGTGACGTGGAGGTTGGAGCTTTAGACAGGCCAGCTAGATGCCGGCTGGAGGCAAAGGACACGTGTCCTCAAACTGTAATTATTTCGTGTAGACAACTGACCTAGCATTCTTGTCCTCATCGGAATACGACCTTGATAACTGTTTACACTGTGAGTTTTTAACGTTTTGTTTATTGATTGTGTGTGTTTGCTCACACTGACACAGAGGCCACAGCACAGACATGAAGACCGGAGGATAGCCGTCCACAGTCAGTTCTCTGCTCTCGATGTCTGCAAGTCCAGTCCCAGGGGATCCGCGTGGACCCCAGGGATGGAATAATGTCATTATGTATATATATGCTTATGTATATATACATGTGTGTATATATAATGCTTACATAAATATTTTTAATATATAATCTGGGTCTTGATTTTTTAAGTGCTAGTGACAAAAAAGTAACTACATACTAATGAAAAAGCAAGTTCGGTGTGTCGTTTTGAAAGTAATGACAATTTGTATGTGTCCGTGTGTTATATGTGTGTGTATGCAAATAAGTGTGCAGGTTAAGACATGCCTATACATGTCAATGCAGAGACCAGAGCAGAGGGCCTTTCCCTTCTTTTTTTTTTATGGATTTTTATTGAGCTCTACATTTTTCTCTGCTCGCCCCTCTTCCTCTCCCCTCCCCTTCAACCTTCCCCCAAGGCCCCCATGCTCCCAATTTACTCAGGAAATCTTGTCTTTTTTTTTTTTTTACTTCTTATGTAGATTAGATCTATGGATCTAATCTCTTAGGATCCTCATTGTCATCAAGGTTCTTGGGGATTGTGATTTGTAGGCTGGTTTTCTTTGTTTAATGTTTAAAAACCACTTATGAGTGAGTACGTGTGATATTTGTCTTTTTGGGTCTGGGTTACCTCACTCAAAATGATGTTTTCTAGTTCCATCCATTTGCTTACAAATTTCAAGATGTTATTTTTTTTCCCACTGTGTAGTACTCCGTTGTGTAAATGTATCACATTTTCTTATCCATTCTTTAGTCGAGGGGCATTTAGGTTGTTTCCAGGTTCTGGCTATGACAAACAACGCTGCTATAAACATAGCTGAGCACATGTCCTTGTGGCACAATTGAGCATCCTTTGGATATATACCCAAAAGTGGTATTGCTGGTAGTTTCCTAATTTTCTGAGAAATCGCCACACTGACATTCAAAGGGGCTGTACCAGCTTGCATTCCCACCAGCAATGCAGAAGTGTTCCCTTTACCCCACAACCTCTCCAGCGTAAGTTGTCATCAGTGTTTTTGATATTGGCCATTCTTACAGATGTAAGATGGAATCTCAGAGTTGTTTTGATTTGCATTTCTCTGATGGCTAAGGATGTTGAACATGTCCTTAAGTATCTTTCAGCCATTTTAGATTCCTCTGTTGAGAGTTCTCTGTTCTTTTGATGATCAATTTCTTGAGTTCTTTGTATATTTTGGAAATCAGGCCTCTGTCTGATGTGGGGTTAGTGAAGATCTTTTCCCATTCTGTAGGCTGCCGTTTTGTCTTGTTGACTGTGTCCTTTGCTTTACAGAAGCTTTTCAGTTTCAGGAGGTCCCATTTATCAGTTGTTTCTCTCAGTGTCTATGCTGCTGGGGTTATATTTAGGAAGTGGTCTCCTGTGCCAATGTGTTCAAGTGTACTTCCCACTTTCTCTTCTATAAGGTTCACTGTGGCTGGCTTTATGTTGAGGTCTTTGATCCATTTGTACTTGAGTTTTGTGTGTGGTGTTAGATAGAATCTATTTTCATTCTTCTACATGTTGATATCCAGTTATGCCAGCATCATTTGTTAAATATGCTCTCTTTTTTCCATTTGATATTTTTTGCTTCTTTGTCAAAAATCAGGTGTTTGAAGATGTGTGGATTAATATCTGGGTCTTCAATTTGGTTCCATTTATCCTTCTGTCTATTTTTATGCCAATACCAGGATCTTTTCAGTACTCCTTTCTCTTTTTTAAAAACAGTATTTATTGGGGCTGGAGAGATGGCTTGGGGGTTAAGAACACTGGATGCTCTTCCAGAGGACCTGGATTCTGGAATCCTCATGGCAGCTCACACCTGTCTGTAATTCCAGTCCCAGGGGATCCCAAACACCTACTGACCTCCTTGGGTACCAGGCATCTGTGGAGTGTATAGATATACATGCAGAAAAAAACCCACTCATGCACACAAAATATTTTAATGTTTTTAAATTTTTATGTATTATTTTAATTATGTGTATGTGGGGTGTGCACATGAATGTAAGTGCCCATGGAGGCCAAAGGTGTTAGATCCTCTAGCGCGGGGTCACAGGCAGTTGGGAGCCACCCAATGTGGGTGCTGGGAATCGAACTCGGGCCCTTAACCACTCAGCCATCTCTCCATCCCCCCCAAAATAATTTTTTTTAAACAACAACAACAACAAAACCCATTAGGTCATGAGTGTGAGGGCCAGTCTGTTCTCTCCAGCCTGTGGGTCCCCAAGACCAAACGCAGGGCATCATGTAGGGATAAGTCCCACCCCTTAGGGGGCGTGTTCGCCTCAGGCTAAAGTTTTCCTATAAATTTGGCGAGCGTGCTCCCAGCGCTCGCTTCTGCTATCCTGGTCTCCGCGGGAACGGTGGTTCTGTAAGTCTATTCCTCCATTAAAGCTGTCTATATTTTGACAATCTGTCTGCATTCACTTACGCCGTTACAGCATCATGTTTGGGGGATCTCATTACCAGTACGATAAAAGCTCCACAACCTGGGAAACATGCCTGGTTTCTTTTAATAAGCTATGCAAGACTTGACGGACAGTCTAGGCTTCTGTAGTGAACCAGTTCTATAGAAACCCGGGGTTTGTACAGGCTGTGATTCCTAGAGCACAGGCGGCCACATGGTTAGAGGTGGCAAGTTGGCACCTGCTCACATAATGAGTGTACAAAGTCAATAACATGAACAGTCAACCTGCAAGCTCTCCTGCCCCAACTCATCCCTGTGTGGGGGCTCAATCTCTTCAGTATTAGGCTACAGAAGAAGCCACAAAAATATCTTGTTGTATCAGAATGTTAGCCAACTATTTATTATCCTTCCCCCTTTTTGGTAAATAGTTTTATATTACTTAAGGGTAAGTAGTTCTATCCTTAGAATGCAAATAGTTTTTAAATTTCAGTGCCTGCTTCTAATTTCAGCACAGTGACTCTGAATTCTTGTTCAGCCTGGACTACAGGATTGAAACACAGTTTCAGAATTTAAAAAGAGAGTGTTCCCTGGACTGGAGAGATGGCTCAGCAGTTAAGAGCACTGATTGCTCCTCCAACAGACCTGAGTTCAATTCCCAGCACCCATATGGCAGCTCACAACCGTCTGCAGCTCCAGTTCCAGGGGACCCGGCACCTCTTCTGGCCTCAGCAGACAGCAGCCATGCAAGCAAAATACCACATACAAAAAAACAAATTATTTAAAAATAGTGTTGCCCCAGGTAACCAACAGACCCTCACTGGGAATTTGGGACCCACTGCAATTCCGTGTCATGGCAGACCTGCTAGCTAGCCATCCTGGGGAGTCACTGTAGGCTTTTCCTGCTATAATTCTGATGCCCACGCACTCCTCACCTTCATTCATGGCCACCAAAGACTGCGGAAACACATCTGCTCCAAGCACACAGCCCTGCAGCCCAGAGCCTCCTGGTGGCGACGATGCGTCCCCTCTCCTGCTTGTGTACCACAGCATGCCACCACAGTGGGTACCAGGAAAACTGTTTGTGTGACTGGATGAATGTATCTCAATGTTTGTGCATTCCAACATGTTAATAGACTATAAAGTCTGTGTAGGAAATGTGAAAGATCTCTCTCTCTCTCTCTCTCTCTCTCTCTCTCTCTCTCTCTCTCTCTCTCTTTAGATAATGTTTATGCGTTGGGTGAGTGCGAAGGTCAGGAGAGAACCTGCCAGAGTTGCCCTCCTCCTACCGTGTGGATTCTCTGGTGCTGAAATCAGCTCACCAGGCTTTGTGGCCGCATCCTCACCGGCGGCCATCACTTTTTCGTTGTGACAGAAAAGATTTTAAAGGATAAGGGTGGTTATTTCTTTTTTAAAAAGATGTATTTTTATGTTTAACCACGTGTTTATGAGTGCTCCAGAGCCCTTGGGTTACCTGGAGCTGAGGTTACATGTAGGCACGGGTGAGCACCTCCCATGGGATCAGAGCTCAGATGAGACCAGTGGCGCCCTTAGCCACTGAGCCCTCTCCAGCCCCCAAATAGCATTTCTTTGTTTAATAAGTGTTATTTATTCATTTAGTTATTTATTTAATTTTCTGAGACAGGGTTTCTCTGTCGCTTTGGAGCCTGTCCTGGAACTAGCTCTGTAGACCAGGCTGGCCTTGAATTCACAGAGATCTGCCTGCCTCTGCCTCCTGAATGCTGGGATTAAAGGTGTGCCCTACCACCACCTTAATAAACTTTATTTATGTGATGAGTGTTTTGCCTATCTATACTATCTGCATACAATGCCCACAGAAGCCAGAAGAGGGCACTGGATCCTCTGGTACTGGCAGTAAGGGCAGTTGTGAGCTGAGATGTGGGTGTTTGGGAATCAAACCCAGGTCCTCTGGAAGAGCAGTCAGTGCTCTTAACTGCTGAGCCATCTCTCCAGACCCCAAAACACTGTTTCTTAAGGGGTGTGTGTGTGTGTGTGTGTGTGTGTGTGTGTGTGTGTGGTGTGTGTAGTGTGGGGTTTTGTTGTTTAAGTTTGAGGCCGGGCATTGTGATACACACTTGGAGTCCCCGCCTACTAAAGCAGGAGGGTCCCTTCAGCCCACATTGATTCCTGTAGGTGATATGACCCCGCCACCCCCCTCCGTCTCAGACAGACGGGTCAGATGAAGCAGTGTGCACCACCTGTTGCAAACACAAGTCAGGACAGTTCAGAATCAACACTCGCCTCCCCTGAGTGTCCTCGCTGTCCCGGCTCGCTCCCTGCTGCTGTGAGGAAAATGTGCTAGAACACTAACCAAAGCCGGCTTAGGAAAAATGGGCTTTGTTCAGCTTTCAGGTACAGCATCTCCTTGAAGGAAGCTGAGGCGAGACCTCCAGGCCGGAAGCTGGAGGCCAGAGCTGAAGCAGAGACCATGGAGGAGGCTGCTTACAGGCTTGATCCTTTCTCAGCCTCTTCTCAGCCTCTTCTACAGCCTCAGCCCATCTGCCCAGGACTGGCACCACCCACTGTAGGCGGGGCACTCCCACATCAATCATTAATCAATGAAATGCCCCACCGGCATAGCCACAGGCCAGTCTGATGGAGGATTCCTCACTCGGGGGCCACTCTTTTAGTTTGTGTCAAGTTGACAATCAGTCAGCACCCTTACACAACAGCGCCACAGGGCCCGGTGTTCACCTGTTCCTCAGAGTAGAAGGTGACATTTGCTGAGGGAACATGAAAGCCACCTGGGCAGACAAATCTGATGGGGGTGGGGGTGGGACTGGGAGAAGGCCCTCCAGAACGAAGACCAGCAATCAAATGTGGGAGCAGGTGTGGATGTGTGGGTACAGCATGGGGGGCGGGATCCGGGTGCAGGCAGACCATGGGAAGGAAGTCCTCCTGCACCATCAGAGAAGCAAGCATGGCTGCTTCTGCAGCCCTGGCGTGAATCCCTGTTTGCCGCTCCCATTGACCAGTTGAATGAGCCCCGGGGACCTTCCTCATCTCTTTTTCACCTCTGAAATGGGGTGGTGTGACCTGCCTTCTGCAGGTCAGAGTTGACTGCTGGCAGCTGGAGACAGAAGCACGTCGGCCGTATACGTGGAGTTACATACATGTGGAGTTACATATATGTGGAGTTACATATATGTGGAGTTACATACATGTGGAGTTACGCACACGTGGAGTTACATGCATGTGGAGTTACATACATGTGAGTTACATATATGTGGAGTTACATATATGTGGAGTTACATACATGTGGAGTTACACACGTGGAGTTACATGCATGTGGAGTTATATATGTGGAGTTACATGCATGTGGAGTTACATACATGTGGAGCCACAGAGGATTAGCAAGTCATAAAGTCAAGGCCTGGGGCCTTGTCCCCTTGCGCTCAGGAGACAAGCTCAGACTTCCTGTGGAAGGTGGCATTAGAGGAACTTTTGTTTTCATTTTTAGTATTGATCTTTACTTTTTATTTGTGTTTTTATTTATGGGTATTTGTGTGTAGACAAACGCCTTCCAGTCCCTGGGAACTGGAGTTTATGGAATTGGGATACATCCCACCCAGTCTGAAACTGAACTGGGGGCCTCCAAAGGAGCACGTGCTCCCAACTACCGAGCCATCTTCTCCAGCCCAGTTTTCAGTGACTGATGGATTTTTTTTTTTTATGTTTTCTGCCCTTCATCAAGATCCAACATGGCATTTCAAGTTTAAGCCAACATGTCCACATTCCAATCTACAGAAAAAGAGAACGGCAAGAGACTGTACAGCTGCGGCCCATCACTCAGCCGAGCGCAGCACCAATGCAGCCAGCGGGGAGTGAGGTTTCATTCTGAAGACCAGAGAGTGAAACGGCCACCCTAGGCCCGGCAGTGGCGGCACACACCTTTCATCCCTAGTCAGCCACAGAGGCCGCGTGGCGGCGGTGCACACCTTTGATCCCAGCGCTAGAGAGGAATAGAAGGCAGGCTGAGACAGAACTGTCTCTCAGTCTGAAGATTTCGTAAAGGTAAGAGCTCTCTAGTGGCTTGGCTGCTTTGCTTTTCTGATCTTTAGGTTGAACCCCAATATTTGTCTCTGACTTTTTATTATTTGTGCTCCAACCAGGTGTCAGGAAAAAACGGAAGCCATGTCAGCCATGTGCAGGGCTGGCATTTGGGAAATCTTGTTACCAAGAACAGCGGCTATTTGTAATAGCAACATCTGGCACCCAGCCACATCTGCGCTGTGAAGTTCAAGTAATTGCTCCAATAAAGATCTTAAATGATTTCTAGGCACATGGGAAGTTCCTACTGAAGGCTGCTATATTATGTGCCCTCCTCCTTTACCCTCATCAAACAGAAGCCATCAAACTTTACTAAATTGACACTTCTAGATTCCCAGCTAAGCCAAGGCCACAGACACCCATCAGTGGAGTCCCCCTAAGCTACGACCATGGCTACCCATCATAAGCTATGACCATGGCTACCCATCAGTGGAGCCCCGTGTTTTGTAGGAACGGGTTTGCTCTGGCATTCTTGTTAGGCTCAATCATAGAGTAAGAAAACCCTGCACAAGCATCTCTTCTTCCGTGACACCCACTCAACTTTTTAAATTACTACTTCTGAGAGGGTACAGTTGAGGCTTCTGTCACAAGAGACTGGCCTTTCACCTGGCCCTGAGCCAGCTTGGAAACCCATTTCTTTCACATACAACAATTTGGCTAGCGGCTCAGGCCTGTCTGGACTCTCAGAAACTTAATGTTGTTGCTCTCCCATTTTTAAGAGATTTTAAAAAGTGACTTGGGGCTGGAGAGATGGCTCAGTGAGCCAAGGAGATGTCTAAACTGGTAAAGGACCTGCCAAGCGTGCATGAGGACCGGGATCCGATCCCAGCACCCCCATAAGAAGCAACATGTGGCTGTGTACGTCTGTAATTTCAGTGCACAGGACAGAGACAGGCAGTTCCTGAGATTCCGTGGCCAGCCAGCAGCCTAGGAGAATCATCAAGCTCTAGGTTCAAGATCGACTCTGCCTCGAAATAAAGGGTGCCATGCTGGTATGGGGGTGCACACCTTGAGTCCCAGCGCTTAGAGGCTAGAGTCCTCTTCAGTCCAGTCTTTGCTGGTTCTGAGAATCTTGCTGGCTCAATCACGACTCAGCAAGGTTCACTCATGACTGGTCTAGCCTTTGCAGGCCCACACCTGAGGCTACCCCCGTGCTGTACTCTGCCCTGCCCACGGCTCCTCCTCTCCTAGCATGCCAAGTCCTTACGCTTATGGGACCTCTGCCTGGTAGGCACTCGTCACCCCAGCTTCTGTTCCCAAGGCTTTATTCAAATATCTCTTCCTCACTGGGGCTGAGAGATGGTTCAGCAGTTGTGAGCATTGACTGCTCGTCCAGAAGACTGAGGTTTGACCCCCCAGCACTCACACGGAGACTCACAACAATCTGTAACTTCAGTCTGTCTTTATGATCTCCAGAGACACCAGGCATGCACATGTCACACAGACATAGATTCAAACAAAACACCCATACTCACAAAAGAAGTAAAATCAAAACCAGATTTTGTTCTTTTTCTCTGCAAAACTTCCTCAGTGCCTCCCTCACCTCTCAAAGCCACACCCGGTCCATCAGCACGTGTTAGCGCAAACTGGGGAAACGGCTTGCCGTGCTAAAAGGAGGCTCTCTGGCTGATCCTAGAACCTACATAAAAGCCATGCCTGTAGCCGGGCGATGGTGGCGCACGCCTTTAATTCCAGGACTCGGGAGGCAGAGGCAGGCAGATCTCTGTGAGTCGAGACCAGCCTGGTCTACAGAGCTAGTTCCAGGACAGGCTCCAAAGCCACAGAGAAACCCTGTCTCGAAAAAACAAAAACCAACCAAACAAACAAACAAACAAAAAAGCCATGTGCCTGTGATCCCTGCAGTGTGGGGACAGAAACAGGCAGATCCCTCGGGGCCTCTAGGGAGAGCCAGATCTCAGGGAAAGGACGGACTGGGAGCTAATGCCGGCACGCAGCGTTCCAGTTTAATCAGACGATTTCTGTGACGGGATGGGGATGACTGTACAACGGTGTAAATGAATTTACCGCCGAGGAGTAAGTTGTATAATAGCAGCCCGTAGCTCTAAGCAGCAAACGTTCCACACAGACGTATCTGGGCCGTGTCTGTTATGTTCTCTTTGCTGTTGCATGCTATCCAGCACCCACAAACACAGCCATCACCCCATCATCACCGTTTATTTACCCCAGGCCAGAACGATGCGTGGTGCCCCAGAGCCAGGGCTGTGCCCCGGAGTCAGGGATGCGCTCTGGTTTTTGTCTGTAATACCCTGACGCATTTTGCTCACGTTAACTGCAGCCCTCTGAAGGTGGTCATTCTGGACCAGAGGGCCACATTCCACATACACGTTTGGACAGCACGTTTTTATCATTTGCTAGAGATAGAGTCTTGCTGGTCTTACACTCTTAGACTCAAGTAACCTCCTGATCTCCCAAGTAGCTGATGTTACAAGTTATGCATCACTATGCCAGATTTAAATGACAGACTCAAGGGTGGCTGAACTCTACGATTTGCCAGATTTAGCAGTATGTTTTGTTGGCAGCAGTTGGTTTTTCGACCCAATCTTATAATGCAATGGTCAGTACAAGCAGTTTTGGATTGCATCCAATGCACAGAGGACCCCAGACCTCGTTATCAGGGCTCCCATGATGACAGCTGCAGAGGTATCTGATCACGAATGCCTGTGATCAAAGCATCCAGCGTCGGTGTCCTAAAACCCCACACAAACACGACACTCACTGCTGCAGCAGTAGACAGATTTATTATAGTCAACTTACCAAACTCAGATTTGCTTTTCAACTATATTTGAGCTCAGTATTTTACGTACAAAATTTTGCACAGTTCACTTCTTTCCGACAGAGGTAAAATATCGCCTGTGTTTGCTCTCTTATCATTCCGCTGCTCTGACATGACCCTGTCATGTCAGTCCAGAGCTAGTCAAAGGTTACGCTTCTCTCTCCGGCAGCCTTTCCCGTCCTTTACTTTCTCTCTTTATGTTCTCGAGCATAGCTTTGAGGTCTGGCGTATTCATTTCCAAGATCCACAACAATCACCTCCTTAGAAAACGTCACTCCTTTCAGAGGTCTCTTTTGGCTTTCGATAACTGAAGGAGTTAAGGTGACATGCGTGGGTGCTCTCTCAACAATCCCACCCTGCAATGAGAACGGGACAGACCATAGAAATGACATTTCAAACACAGGAGTCGTGCTTTAAAGCATTCCAAGGCACGTTGTGAAGGAGCAATAGAAAAAGTATTTTCGAATGGTAGAGGCGGCAGTGACCATGTATGGCTGCCAGATTCCCACGGCTAGAGAAACCTGGACTCGTCTGGCCTAATTTGATGGCATAGCGTCAAAGCTGAGAGCAATATGGGCCCGCATTCTGTCTCCGATATGGTACGGAGATAGGAGGAGCTAGTGAAGGTTCCGGAAGTGTTAGTGTACCAATGCCAAGGATCCCAAGATCGCAGCAAGGACAGCAGGCTGGTCCTGGGCTCAGCAGCAGTGGGGCAGCAGACACACATCTCGGTTTTCCACGTGTCATGAAGTTTAGACTCTAGATAGCTTACAGGGACTTTTATAGCTCTAAGATCCCAGGAGTGTAAGAAAAACAAAACGAAGGGAAATGTTAAGAAAAATAGGAATATAAGAATGAAAGCTGAGGGGCTGGAGAGATGGTTCCGCATGAAGAGCCCTGCCGGCCATACCAGAGGTCCTGAGTTCAATTCCCAGCAACCACGTGCTGGCTCACAGCCATCTGTAATGAGATCTGGTGCCCTTTTCTGGCCTGCAGACACACACAGAGGCAGAAGATTATGTATATAATAAATAAATTTTTTTTAAAAAAAATTGAAAGATGAAAACGAAAAGCCTCCAGCTTGACAATGCCATATCTCATTATTGTCTCTACATGGGTGACTCTCCTCATTGAACCTAAATGACCCCCCAGAGCAGAACACACGTCACCTTGTAGTTGGTTTCTCTAACATTCGCAGACCCGAATATCTGGCTGATTTTGTCCTCTTCGAATCCAATGTTCCCTCCTAAGTGTGGGGCCGTGGCTTCCTTACTCTGTCTTTGGACGAGGATGCCAGGTCTCACAGGCATGTCCATGTTTACCAAGTGCAGTAGGACCCTGGGAAAATCAGCTGCTTTTAAAAATTCATGCATCTTAGTCAACATTACCACGTATAGAAATGGCTAGCATATCCAGATGTATGTTATTTTGGGATGTGTGTGTGTGTGTGTGTGCTTGTCTGATTGGATGTGTACAGAGATCAGAGGTTGTTAGTTGTCATCTGATGTCACGAGTTTCCCCTTGTGATTTGGGGGCAGTCACTGAACCGGAAGCTCACAGTTCATCTGGGCTGGCTGGGATCTGCCTGCCTCTGCCCCGAACACTTGGCTTTCTATGCAAGCGCCAGAGAAGCCAAAGTCAGCTTGCCAAGCCTCAGCACAGCTGCCTGCCCATGAGCCCCTTTCCCAGACTCACTTGTCTTGATCCTCGGGTTTGTTCATCTCCACATTAGCAGCTAAACAATCTTCACCTTCGTTCTCATCAGTACAAAGTAGATTCACTGACTCTTCATTCTTGCCTCTGAAACTAAAAATAACAATAAAACACATAAAACAATAAAACAGAAGGCGCTAAGGTGTGGGACGGGACTTTTACTTCTAAACAGGGCATAGGCACTTTGAAAAACCCAGACGTGGCCGGGCGGTGGTGGCACACGCCTTTAATCCCAGCACTCGGGAGGCAGAGGCAGGCGGATCTCTGGGAGTTCGAGGCCAGCCTGGTCTACAAGAGCTAGTTTCGGGACAGGCACCAAAGCTACAGAGAAACCCTGTCTCGACAAATCCAAAAAGAAAAGAAAAACTCAGACGTGGAAGAAGTAACTAGTTGCTACCTTGCTTATTCTATTTTATTTGGGTTTTTGAGACCGGGTCTCTCAGAACCTAGGTTGATCTTGAAGTCTCAGTGTAAAATATAACAACCCTGAATTCCTAATCCTGCTTCCACCTCCCCAAATTCTGGAATTACAGGTGTGTGCGCCAGCTTGCCTTTTCCTTGTTTTATTTAAAACGACTGTGTTATTTCTAGACACACTTGCTACTGTAACTTGAAGCCGGTTCCCAGATCGTCAACATAGGTGTATACCATTTATATAAAAACACTGCCAATAAGAGGAGGATACAAATGAAGCAAATGAGGAGGATGATGAAGAACGTGATGGTCGTGGTCTCAAAGACCAAAGGGTTCGATTTGTCGTCCATTTTCTCATCCTCATTTTGTCCAAACATTCTTTCCCAGCCCAGTTTGAATGCAGATTTCTTGTTCTTTATGTTTTCTAGAAAGAGAAGGACAAAAGGCTGTTTTCACTGTGTTCTTCCGCTCCGGCGAGTCCCGCAGAGGTAGCCTGGCTTCTTTTGGTGGAAGTGCCCAATTTCTCTTCATAAAGGCAGTCAGGGGCTGCGGTGGCCAGAGGGGAGACTGAGCTGGGACACGCTGCTCACTCAGCTCACCTCCCCTCACCCCCAAAATTGCCAAAACCCAAAGGAGAGAGGACTTGGAGCAGCAGGAGACGGACCCAGCTCCCCATTCTCTTCTCTTCAGTGACATCACAGAGCCACGGAACTGTTGTGCTAGAGACCATGATCTGGAGTAAGAGGCCACTGACCTCTCTGTGGGCTGCGGCTTCCAGCCACTCTCTCAGGGGTCAAGTGGAGCTCACATGGCACTGTCTTGGCCATGTTTTAGACCAGGATTTTCCAGATTCCAGCTTTCTTCTCCCGACTCAAGCCTCATTGATTGAATTCTTTTCATGGATGTGATCAGCCGACTCACCATCCTACAAAAATCCCCTTCTATAGCTCTGTGTACTCCTAAGGACTTTTCTCCAGAAGGAATGGCCTGCGTTCTTCATCCCATCCACTGTGCTGGCCTCCTGGACTCTCAGCTAGGCGCCGTCCAGGCCACAGCTCATGGAAGCAGAGCTAGAACAAGATGCTCAGTCAGAAGATGAGCTCAGGCCCCAGGAGTTGAGTGATGTCCTTGACAGAGAGGGCAGTGCTAGAACTGGATTGTCCTATATGAAAGCAAGTTTGGGAAAGGTGGTGGCACAGACCGGCAATCCTGGTTTGATGGGGAACCTCCTTCAGCCAAAAGGCCTTTAAGAGGCTGGACCAGGTGAGGCCATGAGTTTTGGGCTCCCAGAAAGCCACCGTCCTGCCCAACTTGCTCTTTCTCTCTTCTTCCCACGCTCTACACCTTGAGGTTGGACCCCGTTCCTGTTCCGTGAGTTTTCTCCATTAGTACAGTCCTTAGAATACACCATTTCGGAGTCAGCTTGGATTATTTGACTCGCGCTCCCCCCTTTACGCACTCAGCTTCACCTGGCGCCCAACACAAAGTTGGGCCAAGTCCATGCTTGCTCTTCAGGGTGCCCAGGCCCCCCATGATGCTGCCGGTTCACCAGCTCAGCGTGTTTCCTGCTGGGACTGGCAACCCACTCACTACCCCTCTCATTTGTCCCTTTTAACTGGTCCCATCTCACTGCGCCCCTGTTTCTCCAGCCAGTGATCCCTGTGTCCGCGATTTGCGACTGATGGAAAGTTCTGGGCTTTCACCTTATTCAAGTCACCAACTCTTAGAATCACTTTGACTGTCCTTAATAACCGCTCTTAACTTTTTTTTTTTTAAGGATACTTTTCAGTACCTAAGTAAGCAACACAATGCTGTTCAATGCTGCTGGCATCTCTCAGAAATGCGTCCCCAACTGCAACACCTGCTGGCAAATAAAGGTTACTACACCTACTCCAGCTCACTGTAATTGCCTTACAGGAGGTAAGATCTGAAAAACTACAAAATTACTCATAATACAATCATCTTGGAGCTTAATAATTATTTTACTTAAGCTATGAATGGTATTCTGCAAAGCTTATGTGATTTTTCTTATACATCCATTTATTTGATTCTAGGTATTAGTTTTATTTTTCATATTATCTCATTAAGAAAATGGTTTAATAACAAAGCCAAAAATGAGGCACTTATAAAAAAAATGACATAGTCTTTAGAGACTAATAATAAACAGCTGGTTTTAAAAATCAATACTATGAAGAGGGATAGCATCAGTTTGACAAACAAGATCCAGTCAATGTCAAAGGGTGCTAAAACATTATCTGAAAAAAAATTTGTGCTTCTAAATTTAATAATCAAAATCTGTTTAAAAGTTATGATAAATTAATGGATAAGGTGTCTCTCCAGAAAGGTAATATACATGCCATCAAAATTATGTTCAACAATGAAATGTTATCTTTACTGGACAAATTTCATACCTTAAAATCCTCAATGAGGGCATTAAAACAAAACACTAGACAGAAGATTCAGACTTTACAAGAGGCAGTAGTAGAAAGATTTTTATCAGATTTAAAAAATCATCAAAACTGATGAGCAGGGACAAAGGTACAAGGACAGAATTTAGCATCATCGGTATGTGCCAGACTCTGGGATGACTTACCTGATTGATCAGTAGCCAGGCAGGAAGTATAGGTGAGGCAACCAGACAGGAAGTAAAGGCGGGACAATGAGAACAGAGAATTCTGGGAAGAGGAAGCTCTGTCTGCAGTCCTGATCTGACCACAGAAGCAGCAAGATGTGACTGCCCCACTGAATAAGGTACTGGGCCGCATGGATAACACAGATAAAAATAATGGCTAATAATAGGCTATATAAGTAATAAGAGTTAATAAGAAGCCTGAGCGAATGGGCCAATCAGTTTATAACTAATGTAGACCTCTGTGTGATTTCTTTGGGACAATGATTGCAGAAACTGGGCAGGATAGAAAACTCAGACAACACTCATGTTTCTAAAAAGGATATTATAAGGTATTATAAACAAAGGTCACCAGTCATTCAGGCTGCACAAAAACACAAAACAACTTCAGAGGTTCCAATGGCCCTACCTTTAAAATGGTCAACTGAGAAACCAATATGGGTTAAACAATGGCCTTTAACAGAAGACAAACTGCAGTCTTTAAAACAGCCAGTACATAAACAGCTAGATGCTCACCATATTAGTCAACCAGCCCTTAGAATTCTCCTGTATTTGTTGTTAAAAAGAAATCTGGAAAATGGAGACTGGTGACAGACTTTAGAGCTGTCAA